TTAAAAAATAAATGTTTTTTTATAAGTTATCTAAATTTTTTGTATTTTTAAGTGGAATCTTATAAAGGGACCTATTAAAAGAACGCCATTTAGCACTTTGTATAAAATGTATATATTCCCACGCAATAAACATCGTTCTGTAATAGTTCTTTTTTTATCAATTTTCCAAGTATTAAAAAATATCAAAACAATTCAATTTCTTTGTTGATCCTCCATGATCAAGAAGGAAGACAAAAAAAGCCACACAACGTGAAGACCACAAATTGTTTACAATATTATCACTCTGATAGTAGTACAAGAACAAAAAATTAAGAAGTGACCAAATATGGCAACAACAACAACTACAAATTAGGGAGACGACATTCAATACAATGAATGAAATGTGTTTTTTGTGGTGTTGTTGTTGTTGTTGTATTGTCGGCACAATCATCATTTACTAATGGAGTTGTTACTTGTTGAATGTAAACAAATATAAAAAAAGTTTTTTATTATTTTTTATTTGTCTGCCATTTAATAGAGACAAAAATGACGACAATATTTGGGCCATTAAAAAAATGGAAACAATAAATATAAAACAAAGTAGGGAGAGGCATCATCATCATCATATACCACACACATCTATTTGGATCTTTAGAACGTATGTATGTTAATGAATAGTTACTGATGATTGGTTGACCGAGATTACGAAGGGCATAATTGGTAAATCAAGATTGTATTTAACACCACTTTGGAACTTTAGTTTTGATGCTGTAATATAAATGTCATGTACCTGTTGTTGGATAATATTTGCTGTTTGCTTTGGTACTGGTCAAATATTACCGGTTTTTGCTTGGAATATGCCAGGCAATCATAATATATATGTATATAGTTTTTCTTGTACAAAATCCAGCAAATCTGACTAGTACCAGAATACGGCTAGTAAAATTTATAATTCAATGATTCCAAATACTAATTATCGATCCATAACTATATGAGTATGCGAAATTATCAAGATAAACTGGACTAACAAATTTTATAAATAAAGGTGTCTTCGACCTGATGTTACATCTCAAAGATGGCCAAATTTGATGACACGATAACTCAAAAGCCTAAGCCAAGATCGTAATCTGCCCAGTTCCATCCCTTCAGAAAAATAAACTTTCTTAATGATTTCTAAACATTTTCCAATTTAATTTTTTTTCAAAAAGACCTTTTTTCGAAGAGATTTTCGAAGGAACTTAGATAAAATTTTTTAAATCGATAAGAAATCAGATGGTTGGTTGGTTAGTTAATTAGTAGTTAGATAGTAGTTAGTTAGTTAGTTAGTTAGTTAGTAGTTAGTTAGTTAGTTAGTTAGTTAGTTAGTTAGTTAGTTAGTTAGTTAGTTAGTTAGTTAGTTAGTTAGTTAGTTAGTTAGTTAGTAGTAGTTAGTTAGTTAGTTAGTTAGTAGTTAGTTAGTTAGTTAGTTAGTTAGTTAGTTAGTTAGTTAGTTAGTTAGTAGTTAGTTAGTTAGTTAGTTAGTTAGTTAGTAGGTTAGTTAGTTAGTTAGTTAGTTAGTTAGTTAGTTAGTTAGTTAGTAGTTAGTTAGTTAGTTAGTTAGTTAGTTAGTTAGTTAGTTAGTTAGTTAGTTAGTTAGTTAGTTAGTTAGTAGTTAGTTAGTTAGTTAGTTAGTTAGTAGTTAGTAGTTAGTTAGTTAAGTTAGTTAGTTAGTTAGTAGTTAGTTAGTTAGTTAGTTAGTTAGTTAGTTAGTTAGTTAGTAGTTAGTTAGTTAGTTAGTTAGTTAGTTAGTTAGTTAGTTAGTTAGTTAGTTAGTTAGTTAGTTAGTAGTTAGTTAGTTAGTTAGTTAGTTAGTTAGTTAGTTAGTTAGTTAGTTAGTAGTTAGTTAGTTAGTTAGTTAGTTAGTAGTAGTAGTAGTTAGTTAGTAGTTAGTTAGTTAGTTAGTTAGTTAGTTAGTTAGTTAGTTAGTTAGTTAGTTAGTTAGTTAGTTAGTTAGTTAGTTAGTAGTTAGTTAGTTAGTTAGTAGTTAGTTAGTTAGTTCGTTAGTTAGTAGTAGTTAGTTAGTTAGTTAGTTAGTTAGTTAGTTAGTTAGTTAGTTAGTTAGTTAGTTAGTTAGTTAGTAGTTAGTTAGTTAGTTAGTTAGTTAGTTAGTTAGTTAGTTAGTAGTTAGTTAGTTAGTTAGTTAGTTAGTAGTTAGTTAGTTAGTTAGTTAGTTAGTTAGTTAGTTAGTTAGTTAGTTAGTTAGTTAGTTAGTAGTTAGTTAGTTAGTTAGTTAGTTAGTTAGTTAGTTAGTTAGTTAGTTAGTTAGTTAGTTAGGTTAGTAGTTAGTTAGTTAGTTAGTTAGTTAGTTAGTTAGTTAGTTAGTTAGTAGTTAGTTAGTTAGTTAGTTAGTTAGTTCGTTAGTTAGTTAGTTAGTTAGTTAGTTAGTAGTTAGGTTAGTTAGTTAGTTAGTAGTTAGTTAGTTAGTTAGTAGTTAGTTAGTTAGTTAGTTAGTTAGTTAGTTAGTTAGTTAGTTAGTTAGTTAGTTAGTTAGTTAGTTAGTTAGTTAGTTAGTTAGTTAGTTAGTAGTTAGTTAGTAGTTAGTTAGTTAGTAGTTAGTGTTAGTTAGTTAGTTAGTTAGTTAGTTAGTTAGTAAACCCTTAAATGTGTTTCAATGTTTTATTTTTATTATTAATTAATAATTTTGTTACTAAGCCAATAGGTAATTAGCACCTCTTTGTTATCTGTGCCACAGAGTAAATAGAAACTATTTAAATAAATCTTCCAGAAACACTTCCAGCACCATCATTTACGAGTTTTTGAAGAACCCTTACAAAACATACACACAACATCAATAAACAAATAAAACGAACGAACAGACAGGACCCACTCAGCCATACATCCATCCAACCAGCCATTCAGATCAAAAAAGTGAAAAAATATTCATCATTTATTGTTTACATGACGAAAATGGAATGAAATTGATGTTTGTTTGTGCAATCGAATTAAGTACGTGGTGGATATAGTATTTATTATAAACAAATTAAAAAGAAATACATTCGAACCAAAATGGAAATATTGTTGCTGGTGATTATTGTTGTGGTTGTACGCGCTGATTGTTTCATAACCTTAAAAGTAAATAAATTACCAAAAGAATAACAAATAGTATTCTTCTTCTTTTTTTAGAGATATTGACAAATAACCAAACAAAAAGAAGAGAATCATTAAAAGAGATAACGAAGGAAGTAAGATCAAATATTAAGGATTTTGCCATAAGGTTGTGAAATCCTTATCGTTACAAATAAAAAAATAATAAACAATGGAAATGCCATGTAAATGTAATCAAAATCATCCTCACGTTCTCTGTAAATATTCATATATTCATTGAATTTTAAATTTTTAGTTTCTAAAATGGTCAAACAGACCAGTATTTACATACTCACTTGTTTGTATATTTAATTTTTTTTTTCAAATTCTTTACACATGTCTTGCAGGGATCTTCTTCAATTGGTTTTTTGTTTCTTGTAGGGACATGTGCATAAATACACTTTATAGGACGCGTGTTGGAATTTTTAAAACAGCATCGGCACGACTCGGCGGATTTATTTTTTATTATTTATTTTTGTTGTGGTGTTAATGGTTTTTCTAATTATTTCTTATCTCTTCTTATTTCTAATGTAAACTATATGATTTGTTTGTGCATTATCACTAAATTATTCAGCTGTCCTTGATTTTCGGGAGTTTTAATAATATGTATTATTGTCAAAGTGTTTTCAATAGGTCAGTTTTAAAAAAATGTTTAACACAAATAATAAAGACTTTAAAACGAAATAAAAACAATAAAATTAATTACAGTTTGTTGTTTATTAGTCAGAGCTGGGGTCAAAGTTCAATTTTTTAATATTTTGTTTATTTTATGCCATAAACCACCGATATTTCAATGTTTTACAAACACCCAAAGGAAGTTTTATAAAAAGACCTGTTCCTCTAATCACCTGCTTGCTCATCATTCAAAAAAAAAAATCCTACAAAATTTTCAATCAATTTTCTCTTATCACTTTAAAACGTTTTTCTTTCGGCCACAAGTGTTAATGCATTTATGTGTAAATAAATACCGAAAATATACAATTAATCTTATTTAAAAAATAATAACAAAATTTTCCATAATTTCATATTATTATATGAAAAATCACAAACAAATAATGAAAAAAAAGCAGCATCCAAATAAATTAAAGGATAAGAGACAATTGATTATGAACGAAAAAGAAACAAATGATAGATGTAAGAAGGATAACTACACAAATATATAAACAAATACCAGAACAAATAAAAAATAAATAATCCCAAAACAAATCAACCACAGTGCAACAAAAGTACCTGTTACCACATATTGTTCAATAGAGTTTAACCCATATTGTGACCTGTTAGAAAATTAAAGAAAATATTGATATATTAACGTTCATAGATTAATAATTATGTTTGTAGCAAACAATTTTAAAAAATTTAAAAAGAAATTTAGATTTACAAAAACGTCTTGAAAAATTTTCTAAAAATATTTGAAAATCTGGTTCATTTGCCAATAATTTCTAAAATATCACCAGTAACAGTGCTAAAATCGAACCGAATTAGACTAAACTGTAAACAAGACTATAGAATAGACTAGACTATATACTCGACTATAGACTACAGATAGTCTAGACTATAGACTAAACTTAAAACTAGACAATAGACTAGACTATACACTATACAATAGACTAGACTACAGACTAGACTACAGACTAGACTACAGACTAGACTATAGAATAGACTATAGACTAGACTATAGACTAGACTATAGTCTAGACTATAGACTAGACTATAGACTAGACTATAGACTAGACTATAGACTAGACTATAGACTAGACTATAAACTAGACTATAGACTAGACTATAGACTAGACTCTAGACTAGACTATATACTATACTATAGACTAGACTATAGAATAGACTAGACTGTAGACTAGAGTGTATACTAGACTATAGGCTAGGATAAATACTTGATCATA